CCGTGCCGTGCCGTGCCGTGCCGTGCCGTGCCGTGCCGTGCCGTGCCGTGCCGTGCCGTGCCGTGCCGTGGAGGCGGGCGGCGGGCGGCGGGCGGGAGCGCGGCTGCGGCTGCGGCGGGGCGCGGCGGCTCTCCTCCCCCGCGCCGCCGCCGCGGGTGTGCGCGCGGAGCCGTGTCGGTGCCCCGGCCGCCGCCGCCGCCGCCTGCAATGGCGTTGAGGCGCCGCGGCGGTCGCTGCCTCCTGTCGGGCGGGCGGCGGCAGCGCTCCTTCTGCGGAGAGCCCGAGGAGCGGCGGGGGCAGCGCTGAGGCGGGCGCTGGCGGAGCCGCGGCGGCTCCCGGCCGGGTAAGGCGGCGTAGCGCGGGGTGGGCGACGCGGGGGAGCCCCGGCAGCGCGTTTTCGTTAACCGGGGCCCGGCCGGGCGAGGTGCTGCCGCCGGACCCGCGCCCTCGGTCCGCCCGCTCACGAGGAACCGCCGCGGGGCTCCGAGCCGTCCGCTCGGCTTAAGTTCCTTTCCGCCGGCGAGACCGCGTTACCGCCGATAGCGGGGTCGGTGAGTGCCCGCGCTGCGGGGCCTCCGTCCGCTCCCGCCGCGATCGCCGCCGCCCGCTCGGATCCGGGCAGCCGGCCGGCCGCCGTCCCGCAGCGCCCAAGCCGGGCTGGCGCGCACGGGCGGCGGAGGCGCGAAGCGAGCTGCGGCGGAGGGGAAGCGCTGCGGGAGCGCGTGCGGGCCGGCAGCCCCCGGGTGCGGGCCGGGCTGCGCGGGGCCGGGCGGGTGCCTCTGCGCTGCCCGGCACGGGGCAACTTCGTGCGAGGGGATCGCGCTTCCCCGAGCACCGCTTCGGTGCCGCGGGTTCCCTCGGGCTGCCGGTTCCGGTTTGGAAGAGCCCCTGAGCGCGCGTTGGGTGTGATGGTATTCGTGCCTTTACGTTCCTCTGCGAGAGCGCGGGTTGCGGACCGCCTCGGGGAGCACAGCCGTTTGCACGGATTGCCTTGCATTACTGTGTATATATTGCTGTAGTTTTATGTGTGTAACTCAGATGTTTGCGATGTCTTACTTTTAGAAGAGCTCAATAACAGAAGTAGCGATGTTTTTCATAGCGCGTTGCCTTTCCCCTGCGTGTGTGTTTGTGACATGATACTTCCTTGGGAAGTGACAATCTGCTCTCACACTATGGAACACCGAGTTTGCAGTGACAAAGTTCTCATATGTTTGTGTGTCATTAGGTTGTATTTTTTATGTTATTTTTAGTAAATGCATCAGATAACTAAAGGGAGATAATGGCTTAGATTAAAAGAGATGCAAGTGCATGGCATGATTGAGAGCACCCCACTTTCTTTTGCAGGTTGAGCCTGCTGCTGCTCCGGGAAGGCCTGGGCTGTGCTGCTGTGTCCCGGCTGGATTAGCCCCTGCCTCCTGCCCTGCTGGGGATGGCCCTGCCAGCAGGCAGCACCTCCTGAGCCCGGGCTGGGACAGCTCATTTGAGTGCGGCTCTGTGGAAACTATGTGAGCTGGTTCTGCTCTCCTGAAGTAAACATGATGAAAACGGAGTCTTCGGGAGAAAGATCGACCCTCCGAAGTGCCTCTCCTCACAGGAATGCTTACAGAACTGAGTTCCAGGCACTGAAAAGCACCTTTGACAAACCGAAATCAGATGGAGACCCAAAAACGAAAGAGGAAGGAGAGGCCTCTCAGAGCAGGGGGAGGAAATATGGCTCAAATGTCAATAGGATTAAGAACTTATTCATGCAGATGGGCATGGAGCCCACTGAAGGTGCTGGAGCTGCCCCCAAAACCAGGGGGAAGGGTGGTCCTCCATCACCTCAGAGGCGAAACAGGCCCAAAGAGTTTGTAGAGAAAGCAGACGGTTCAATTGTAAAACTTGAATCTTCTGTTTCAGAGAGGATTAGCAGGTTTGACACCATCCATGATGGCCCTTCTTACTCCAAGTTTACCGAAACGCGCAAGATGTTTGAGCGCAACGCTCATGACGTGGGACACTCCAATCGCTATTCCCCAAAGAAGGAGAGGGCAGTTTCCAGCGAGCTGGCAGAGGAGTGGTGCAGCTCCAAGTTGCACAGGGGCAGCACTGACTCCCTGGACAGCCTCAGCCCCAGGACGGAGACTGTCTCTCCAACCGTGAGTCAGCTCAGTGCGGTTTTTGAAAACGCCGACTCGCACAACGTCGTTGCTTTGGAAAAGTCAGAGAACAACGAAGAATACTCCGTAACCGGTCACTACCCGCTCAACCTCTCATCCAGCGTCACTAACATCTCCTCCCCTGTTGCAAACCTCGAGGGCTTTAGTCCTTTGAAGGATGCTGGCACGTGGTCTCCGCCAGCCAAGCAGGGATCCAGCACGATGTCTGCTGAGCACTCTCAGCATAACAGTGCGCCTCCTGCACTGAGACAGAAGGCGACCGCAGGCGCTGTGTTGGGTTCAAAAACAGCTGAAGAAGTAAAGAAGAACACAGAACCAAGTGCTGATTCCATTGAGAGCCCTGAGGTCAGTCAGCAGGATCTGGTGCTTGACCGCGAAAGGTCTGCGGACAGTTCTGCGAGGAGTAAGGCAAAAACAGACACAGAAATTTTGTTGCGACAAAAGGAACGTTCAGAACATGCAGAGGGTATTGCCGATAGACCTGAAGCTGCAGAAATACCAAGAAGTTTAGTTTCAGGGGATGATTTGGCAGCAGATGCTGCTTCAGATGCTGCTGAGACCCATTATGATGAGGCAAGCGAGAAAGAAGTGCATGAAGATGGGAATAATTTCCAGAGTTCCCACGTGTACATGCATTCTGACTACAACGTGTATAGGGTACGATCGAGGTATAACTCTGACTGGGGAGAGACAGGGACAGAACAGGATGACCAGGATGACAGTGATGAGAATAACTGTTATGAACCTGATATGGAATACTCAGAGATTAATGGATTGCCAGATGAAGATGAAATCCCAGCCAACAGAAAAATACAGTTTAGCCGTGCTCCAATTAAGGTAAAGTTTCCTTCATTCTTTTCCAGTGGTTTGGTTCAATTTCAAAGGCAACTTGTCTTGAAATACATTTTGACAACTGAACTTGTGCTGATTGTGGAGGATCTTTTGATAGCCTTTTTTTACAGTCAGCCAGTGAGCATAATTCTAAATGAAGTAAGCAAGCTGAGCTCTGATTAGCTTGTGTCGTTTCCTAGGCTGCTTGGTGGCTATCTGAGCTCACTGAAATTGAGAATGAAGGCTCAGGAGTCTGTGGAGTGAGAATTTTAGCATGCATATTTTGATGGACATGACTGAATTGTAATCACATGGTGAACATAGGAGAGGGTGTTTGGTGGCCTTCGTGCTGGTTGTTGGGTTTTCTTTTTTTCCATTGAAACTTCAGCTTCTTTAGATAGGATGGCTTTGCTTCAGCTCTCAGATATTCTTAAGTCACTGTGTTTACACACTATGCCATGAAGTACAGTGTGCTGTAGTAGAGTGGCTCTGTCTCAATAGCAGAGGGCAGTTACTGTTCTTCATCTGAATTAGTATCACCTTTTCTAGTAGCATTTTTACTTTTTAAAACCTTGTTACATCTTAATATGGGTATTTAGTGTATGTCAATGCAAGTAAGAAGCTACAGAAGGGCGGAAGTCAGCTGCCTGTAACACCTAATGAAGGCTAAGTTTCTTGCAGAGTTCTTCCAGGTGTGTTCTTGATCACCTTGAAACTGCAGGCAAGAATGCAGACTATTTTGGGTATTTTCAGCTAGAAAGGAATGATGATTCATGTTTTTGTATCAGTATTTCACCGTGGAGTCCTGGAATTATGTATAGAAGCACTTTATTTTGAAGTTATGTTTAATGAACATCCAGAAACACAGTCATTTTTTTTTCAGAAAGGGCTCTTGAAAGGCTAAAAGTGGTGGAGTACTTGAAGTGTACACATTTTTAAATCAAAGATCTTTCATCAAAATGCATTTATTGTTTCTGTGTGAGTTCAGTAATGAAAATAACAAAGTCAACTAAAAAAATTTTACTATTGAATGTGAAGTAATGTTGTTTATAAAACTTGTGTTTGCACCACCTGTGGTTTGCGTTAGGGTAAGGTATGCATAGCTGTACTAGGAAATCTCAATCTGAATGAAGCAAGCAAGTTTTGGCATCCATTAATTGTGGTATGGAGAAAGGGGAATGGCCATATGCTCTTCATGCTTGTAGGGGACCATTCTTTAGACTGAAACAAAATATTCAGTGCCAAGATAATGGAATTTTTTTGTTGTTAGTATAGGCTTGTGTCATTGACCAAAAATTCCAACAGTGTTTGTGCTCCCTCTGGATTATTCATGTAATTAAATGAGCTGAATTTCTTTAAATTTTTTGGAGATGAAGCAGAGAAAACTTCTATTACACAGGATTCTGGAAGGTGCCCCCTCCCTCTCCTTCCCCTCTGGCTGCACTAACACGTAAGATGACTTCTCTGTCTTCTGGACGCAGTCAACACAAATTGGCTTTATTATGTTTATTATAGATAGGAAAGATAAGAATTTGGAAAGCAACCACGGTGACGTTACTCTGGATGGTAGGGTTTTCTGCTCTGGCTCTTTGAAAGGACTCAGAGGAACACTGACAGTGGTGTACTGCTGTGCTGTGTCTGAATTGTCGTCAAATATTCTCTTATTGTTTAGGTAAAACATTTTTTCTGCTCAGGAGTTTCACGCTATGTTTATGTCATATTATATATTATCAAGTGATAATAGCAGTCCATCAGGAAAATGCTCTAACAATGATTTGCTTGATTAATGAAAGAGTATATCTGTTGTGGGTTTTGGAATAAGGCATTCTTGCTTACCCAAAGTAAAAGAATCGTGTCTTTAATTCTTTTAGCATCTGTAGCCAGGAGGAAAGCAGAATAAAAGCTGCACTGAGAGAAAGCAATGCAGGAGGGGTGATGTCTTGTGTCCTGTGCCCCTCAAGCAAATGCAGCCTGTTGGCCACATGGGGAGGAAGAAGCGAGACCCCTCAGGAGGAAGAAGTATAGCCAAGTCGTGGAAGACAGCAAGCTGCTTGCCTGCCCTTCCCCGTGGCCTGCCCTGCTGCAGGCAGGGAGCTGGGATGGCAGCTGGGGACAGAAACTTGTCCCTGTGGGCTCCTGTGTGGCCTCTTTGATGGCCTCACTAATTCAGCACGGTGCAAGGAGGCTGAGAGCTGGCTTTGAGGAACAGCTTCTGTCCAGCAAATACCTATCAGTGCACAGAATCCTCCAGTCCCCTCTTGCATTTGTACCATACACATTCAGCAGGTGAGCCACTTCAGCTATACGTTGCAGGGATGCTTGCTAGCAGAAAAGTGTGCCACTATGTAAGAATTTTTCCAGTTTTGGCCATTTCATGCATTAGAGAGACTATCTTCTTTCATTAATACTTATCTGAAACTTTGCCATACGCGTATTGTGTGTGAGAGAGGAAAACACAAAGCAATTTAGGAGTATTTTCTGAAGCTGAAAACTGTTTAGCCTTTATTAAAATGGAGCAATTTGTGCTTAAATGCTCTGGTAGGTAGCAGTTGCACCCAGTGCTGATTTCACAGTATCATACCTCCGTTCTCCTACAGGTGAGCTTTGAAATAATAAAATCAGAGTGTGAATTTGTAACCTGTGAAATGAGTGGGTAGTGCCCTAAAGCTGTTACTCAAGGGTCTCAGCAGCATAAACATCTTTGAGTCGGTAATGGTTAAACCATTTGTTCCATGCGAATTTTCAGGGAGGTGACCAAGAAATACGTGCAAAGAGTGCTAAGATGGAAGAGCAGAGATTCTGTCACCACTTAGAGGAACTTTTTTGTTGCATTAGTGGAGATGCTTTGGACTATGACAAACATTGAGATACAGGCAGAAAGGTGAACAAATCATCCAACTAAAGAAATATTGAATTCTGCTTATCACCTGAGCAGGAAACTGATTTGGAAACTTGCTCTGGAGAGAAGCACAGAGGACAGTGATACGGGAAATTCCTCTGTTACAGACTGTCACCCATCCTGTGCTTCATGGGACCTCACTGTAGGTTTGTGGGGTTATGTGCTGACCTTGGCTCTCCTGCAGTTGGTGGCTGCATGGGGACCGTCTGTGTCTGGGTAAGTTTCTTGTTTCTTGGAGCACTGCCTCCCTGTTCTGAGCAGGTGTGTGTCTGCTCTGTGCTGATCATAGAAATGTTCCAAAGGGAGGCAAGAAGGAGCTCCTGGTGGGAGAGGGCATGAGTCTGCATGTTGCTGAACAGGGTTTGTGCACATTAATTGCATGCGGAATGTCTGCGTAGCAATATGGAGGCCTTGGTCAGCACTGGATTGTTCTTGTGAGGAGGCGTTTAGTATCTGCTCAGTGGCAGAACTGAAACTTCCAAGTGTAAGAGGTGAAACATTCTGTAGGTGTGATGAGAAAGAAATGTAATCAAATGATTTTCTCAGGGACGCTTTTCTACCAAAAAAAAAAAAAAGAAAAAAAAAGTATGGAATTTCTGTGGATTGTTGGCCGTTTGTTGAGTTTTGCAGGGTTGCCTGGGAGTTCAGTTATATGCTGCATCCCAGACATTATGGGATAATTAGGCAGGGCTGGCCAGCAGCACATGATTCATTAGCTCTTAACTTCCATTTGTTGGAGTGTGGAAAGAGTATTAATTGTCCACGTATATCACAGACTTTTTTTAAAAAGAACCATCCTTCCTCCTTCTTGGATAGAATTAGGATGGAAGGTTAATGCCTACCTTTCTTCCTCCTTTCAGTTCTGGTGTACCAATAGCTGATGGCTATATCTCCAGTCGATACCCTATTTCTGGCACAAGGAATGTGACAAACCAGTCAAAGCTGCTTGCAGAAATTGATGTCTGCTGCATGGACTGTGCTCAGCATGGCTGAGGGACTGGAGGGGTTGGGTAGGCTGCAGTCAGACCACCAGGTGGGTGGGAGGGAGCTCACGGTGCAAGGATGGTGCCATTCCAGAGTTGCCCATCCAGTTTCAGGGTTGCACAAAGCTTCCTTTGGGGACCCTGCATTGTAGGATCAGTGGGAGAGGACTTAACAGGAGTGTAGCATGTACAGTGGATGGGACATCCATACTGCATCTAATTTCAGACAAAAGAGTTACAATCTCTGGTGTCCATGCTTCATGGGCTGCTCCTCTCTCTTGTTGTTCAACGTAAGTACAGCATTTCAGCTTTCCAGATTGTGTTTTGTTTGTCATCACAAATCTGAATCTGTGCTTCACTCTTTTTTTTCATGTGAGCCTCTGAAGAGGTTTTCCCAGGAGTGCTGTGGCTGAAGATCAGTTTAAATATAAATGGCATTTGTATCTCATTTAATTGTTTTTAAGTTTCTTAGGAACTGCATGCTATTTTTTTTCTCAGTAAATAATCAATTCCAGGAGTACTTTTTTTTTTCTTTAGTTATTCCTCATTTTTTCTCACTAAAACTTATTCAGGTTTCTAAATGGTGGAGAAGAGTGAATCTGAAACAGTTTGACACTACAGTCACTTTGGTAATTTTTGCTGTCCAAAATATTGACTAGTAAACATCAAAATAAAGTATGCTTGCAGTGTTGTCAAATTTTAGTAGTGTTGTCAAATTCCTTAGAAAAAGGAAGTATTTCTTTGCTGATTCAATGTTTAGTGTGGTATTTATCCACTGTTAAAATCTTGCTCAAGTGTTTTTTTGGTTCACAGCAGTGATAAGTGAAGGTTACTTCCCCACAAGCAATTATGCTCCCAGGTGCCAACCTTGCCAATGCTTCTAATTGTGTTTTACTTGAGTGACTATGGAATTGGGTTTAGATGATCTCCACGTGTCCCTTCCAGCCTCAGTGAGCCCATGGTTCTATAAATGAAGTGGTCCTGGTGCATCTTGGGCACTTGAAGGCAGATGTCAGAGAACTTGCAGAGGGATCCTCAGGCTATCTGATATTTAAAATGAGTAGTTTTGAATGGGTTATTTAGGAATCCTTACAGAGAAATATAGATGTGCAGCTTCCTTCTGA